TTGTGATCACTTTTATAACGAATCATCGGTTCCAGAAAAAAACAAAAATTAGATTTATTAATTCAAGTTTATTGGTTTATAAATAAAAATCCATTTTAAGGAGGGGAAATATTCTTGATCATATTCTGAAATGAACTTACAAAATTTAATGGTAAACAGCAAATCTTAGTTGTTTCTGAATTAAAAGAATACCGCGCGTCTCATAAGATATCGCTGATTGGTTCATATATATGAATACAGAAATTCAAATTTAGAGCCTGCCGGGTACAAAAATTAGTTACTTTTTGAGTTTAATTTATATAACCTAAATCTATTGCATTTTTCTACAATTCTATAACGGGTTTCCACAAGGGTAGGTAGAGACAATAGTGGGTTTTGTTCGTGGAACTGCTGAATGTTGTGACGTAGCCAGTGAGTGTTGTGACGTAAGCGAGGTGTGATGTGTTTTTTTATATACATTTAAAGATGCAGGCTCTTAAATTATAATTGTTTATATTTATAGATGCTTATTTTTGTTTTCTGTGTATTGCTTCGAGATTCATAAGTCTGTTTTTACTGTTTGAATTTGCTATATTTTGTTATTGTTTGTGAGTAGCTGTTTAAGGTTACTATGATCCTTATGCTGCTTATTAACGTGCTGTCTAATACCAATATGTTCTGATAGGTGGCAGGTGAGATACAGCGAAAGTGCAGTTGTGGTATATCCTATGTAAGACGTTTTGTGTGTGTGTGTGTGTGTGTGTGTGTGTGTGTGTGTGTTTTATTTACAGACGAACAAAGTGTGGGCAACTATATTCATACACAATATTCGTATAATACAGGGGATTTGAATTTTGGTATATATTGTTTTTAATAAGTTGCTAGTTTTTATTTTTTTGTAGTAAATAACGAATCTGATGTATTTATTTTATCGACTGATGATTTTATTGTCGTTTCGTTTTTTTCTGTAATTTTGCTGCATTTGATTTTGGTAATATATGTTGATAGCGTTTTTGTCAATATTGTTTTTATCATTAAAATTGTTGCTGCTTAAATGGAATCTGATTTGCTTGCCGACTTTATAATTAGGGTAGCCATTATTGATAAGTTTTTTGTTTTATATTATTTCATTCTTTAAGGAAAATCATTTTCGATAAGGAAATGAGTTTAGCTCATTAGGTTATTAATGACAGAAGTTTTATATTTTCAGGGCATTCACTGTTGTGGTTTAGAAGGTTAAAGTCAGAATTATATAGAGATGCGGTAAAATTACTACTGTTATAGTTAATTAGAATATCTAAAGATGGGATTCTTTTTTATTGTTATTTAATTCATAAGTGATCTTTAAAATGATTTTTTTTTTCAAACTTTATACAAATTTCTATAATATCACTGACGGATTTGGTTTGGATGAAGATGCCATCAATATATTTGGCATAAAGGGTGAGTTTATTTATTTTATTAAATATTTTCTTTTGGGGATATAAAAGTTTGAAAATAAAAGACTGAGAGGGATGCTAACAGAGACGCCGTCAGTCAGGGTATAAATATTACTGAAGGCAAGGGACTTGTGTTGTAGCCGCTAATAATAGATTTTTTTTCTAATATTGTCGGATTAATTTTCAGAGGTGGCAGAGGAGAATGGACATAAATGTTGCTTAAAATAATGTCAATTGTTTCGTAGACTGGAATGTTAGTGAAGACATTTTCAACGTCTTTTTTCAATGTCTCAATTTTCAACCCCTCGCTTACGTCACAATACACACTGCCTACGTCACAACACACATCACAACACACTTCATTGTCTCTACCAACCCTGATAATGACTTAATCAGTATATATATATATATATATATATATATATATGATAACATAAAGAACAAGTATGAAACAGATCTTAATCTAACATGTTTCATTTTATTAAGCATCGTCAGAAATCAAGATCTGACGAAGCCCTATCCATACTCTATCTATCTATCTATCTATCTATCTATCTATCTATCTATCTATCTATCTATCTATCTATCTGCATACACAAGCCAAACGGACGGTTATTCATGTGACACATCTTAGAAAATAACTACTTATATTTGACTAACATCTCAATCTGGATAGATAGATTAAATGCCTGCCATAGAGCTATAACTAGTGGGTTAATCAGTCTATTGCCATTTACAACCTAACTGGTGCTCCGCAATCGAGATTATGTATCATCTTGGGTGAGATCTACTCTGGCATAGTAAGGTGGGTAGCAAACTCGTCTCGACCTTCCTTTCGTATTTAGGTCCTTAATTGGAGTCTCTGGTGAAGATGGGAATTATATAGTAGAATACACAGACACATTGTGTGCAGAGAATTAAGCCTTTTCCGCAAATGAAGTTTGTCCTCAAACAAGCAGTTCTGAACTAGCATACTGTTCCGCATATTTTCTATCTATCTATCTATCTATCTATCTATCTATCTATCTATCTATCTATCTATCTATCTATCACAGTCTATTTATATTTATCGATATATCGATGTACAACTGTCTCTGAAAGAAAAGGGAACCGCATATTTCGTAGTCATTATCAAAGGTTAATTTTAAGCGTAAGACAGGCAAATAAAACCTTATTACTTTTAAGATGGGCGCAATACCATCTTCCCATCCATCCAGTTGATTTTACCAGCCTTGATGTGCATTTATATATATTAAGGACATATGTATGACTAAAACGCCTACGATAGTGTCGACTTATGCAAACAGAGTGACGCAAAGGCATTCAGGCTGACACACACACATATACATATACATATACGTAAATAAACGCTTATATATGTGTGTGTGTGTGTGTGTGTGTGAGTGTCTATCCTTAGAAAATAGCAGATATCATATGAAAAGTATTTGAAATCTTTTTCTAAGAAATAAAGATTAAATTAATTCTTTATTTTTTTAACTTCTACGATTTAATTATCACAGAGGAAAACATTTTTCCTTTTTCATTTCTTCCTATTAAAAATCAAACGAAATCTCCGTCTTTGGCTGAGATTATATTTCCTTGCGTCAGAGATTTTTTTTTTCGGATTCTGTTGCTTCCAATAAAGAAACGTAAAAGAAATAAATAAAATGATTAACTTTAGAATGTTTTTCTTTCTCAGAATTTTAATGATAGAAAAAAAAGGGGGCTCAGTTCTCTGTAAATCAGGCAGACCGCAGCAGCTGCTGTTGTTGATGCTTGCCTAAGTCTGGTTTCAGGTTTTAGTGAAGTTCTCGAGAGAAAAAATAAAGAATTCACTAATGCCCCAAATGTGAATGCGAAAGGAAAAAGAGTTGGGAAAATACAACCGATGACAAACGGTGGCATTGGAAATCAGAACCCTCCTCCTACCTAAAATAGAAAAAAACCAATATTATATTCCTTCTCTTTGACTATCGCCGGCCTCATAACATTGCTATGGATCATCTGACGTAGCGAAATAGTTAATAAATTAGTTAGTTACTAAAATAGTGGGTTCGATTCTCATGGCTGTAGTAGCCTTGTGCGAGAATATATGTCGCTATGTAATTATAGCCTACTTTTAAAAGATGTTATCGTAAATATTATGACAGTGGTTCTTCTTTGTCGGAATTCTTGAGATGAGGAATTATTACTGTTATATGGTTTTCTCTTCAGGCCAGTATGCTCATTTTCGTTGCTATATATATATCAGTGGCGAAGGGTGACTTGGATTCACGGCATGCAATCACGAATATTTTGTCATATACGGACCACCGTTATATTTCCTCACTTACTGTTTGTCTGTCAACGACTCTATAAGCTACTTGCTACTTCAACGGCTGCATAAGAAAATGAGACCCTCCTCGTTATTTTTCACTGCTTTTGAACAAAAAACAAATGTAATTTTAATTTAATCTTCTTCACAATTCATCAAGTTAACAGTTTCTGCTATAACCAGATGTAGATATTTTTATTTTAATTAAAATAAAAAAGTTTAAATAAGTTTCTATAAGATAAGAAACTTATTTAAACATTTTTTGTTCTAACAGATGACGGAAAATGCGATACAGAAATCCGAAAGCGCACTGAGATAGCCAAAGATGCCTTCAAAAAGCTAAGCAGAGTATTAAGAGACAGAAAAACTTCGTTAGAAAAAAAGAAAAGACTACTGAAAAGTTACGTGACATCTGTCCTCCTACATGACAGTGAATGCAGGACAATCTCTTCAAAGATGAAGAAGAGACGTGGAGAAATAGGAATGTGGTTCTACAGAAGGGTACTGAGGATACCATGGAACGAATATGTTAGCAACGACGAGGTTTTAGAGAAAACTGAAGAAGGCCTTGAAAAAATCGAAGTCCCTAATACACCTGTTTGACAGGACTGCTCTCACAGATATTGTGTAAAGCTACAAAACATGGCCATCAACAAAAAGAAAGAGCAAAGTCAAGCAGTCATTTAAATAGCAATGCAACGTCAATCGTCATCTTCCGTCTTCCTGAACCCTGTTCTTTTATTGTCCTTTTCCTCACTTCCTCCCTACTGAAGTCTTCTAGTTCTCTTTCACTCCCTGTGACCACCTTGCGCCCTAGTGGCATTATCGTCTTGCCTGGGGATGAAATGATTAAAAAGAAAAAAAAGAGTATTACTGATTTTCGCTGTTATCCGAAAGTAGAGCGTTCCGATGAAACGTCTGTGAATTGAAACGGCGTAAAACGAAGTAGCAAGTGCCATTAATTTACATGGGAAAATCTTTGAGCGTTCTCAGGCGCCAAAACTAATCTCCTTCTATGTCTGCCTGCCTCGAAGCACGCACAATGTCTTTATTTCGTTCATCAAGTTTATTAACGTCCATTTTTACCGCTAATCGTAACATTCTTACGATCGCTCTTAAGCTTTTCAGTTGCCTTCGAATAAATCTTGCTGAGGGAGAAAATAAATCGTGGTAAAATACAGAATCACACACACCTTCGTAACTTATTGCAAATTGAGGTTGAGATGCTGAGTTTAGTTCCCGAGGAAGTCTCTTAATTTCGATTCACAGATCCATATCAGACTCTCGATAATAGTCTCCATGTAATCGTCAGGTTGCTATCCGAAAGTGGAGCGTTTCAATAAAACGTTTCGTAAGTTGAAACCACGTAAAGTGGAGAAGCAATTATTATTTTTATATGGGAGCATTATTTTAAAATTGTTCTCCGACCCCAGGAGTAAACTTTCGTGAGATTTTCGCTACGACAGATAGTACTAAAATGACTGCTGAGAAGAATGTTTGAAAGACGCATAGGTTCAAAACAGGTTTACAAGATGTTTTCAATGCATGCAATGACCTCACAGACTGAAATAAAAATCTGAAGGTGTATAGGAACATTAAAGGCAAGATGGACAGAGGAAAACTACACGTACCTAGCGAGCTTGTTTAAATGGATGACAGATTAGGATTCAGGAAAGAAAACAAACAGACAATATGAAGAGCAAAAATGGATAGGAAATGGTGGGACATGATCTCAAACTTCCTGAAGGGACAGCACAGAGAAAAGTCAAGAGAAAAAGCGGGAAACTGCGTGTAATCTGCTTTAGGAATTTAAGTAAATGAATAGCAGAACAAAGACAGAGAGAGATGGTAAAGGCCTGAAATTACAAATGACAAGAGGTAGTGGGGAGCCATGTTTCCCACGCTCTAAATGGATATAGTATATAAAAGAAGAGGAGTGAATTTTAAATAGATATTAAAAGGTAAACCCTGAGAAAACCCCAGATTAAAACGTTTCCTTCATATAACAGTAACTTAAAAATGTAATAATATACCACAACAAAATAGTACAACAAAAGACAATAGTACGCGATACTAACAATATAAAAGTATGAATGGAGTTTTAATACAAATAAGTCCGCTCGGTGAGTAAACAGCATTTTAGACTTTCGCAGTGAGAAAGAAGGACTATATTCATTTCAGTAATTTCGTCTTTTGAAAATGATATATAAGAACACGCGTTATATTTAATAAAGCGCCCTGGGTTACTTTTTGAAAAAAAAAAAAAAGTTAAGCTCCCATTAATGGCAGGATAATTTCGATTCCCAGATCCATATCAGACTCTCGATAATAGTCTCCATGTAATCGTCGATGTTTATTAGGTGGTTGGAAGAAGTGTATATATAAACAGGTTAGGTTTATTTATGGCCCTGGTCTCTCGATTGCTTATTTATATATTATTTATCATTTATTATTTTATTCATTCATTTATTTATCTGATTAATTTATCTATTAGATTTTTATTCTTTCTTTAGTATATTTTTCTTTGTTTCTATGTTGTGGTATTAAAAATCAAGTTTATTACAATCAGATTATGGAATTTTAGTTTATTCTTTTTTGTTATGATATGGTTGTGTGGAACGTGGAAGAAATTTGTTTTCATATCTACATTTGAAAATATGTTCTGAGCTTTTGTTTAAGAATGTATCTTGTTCGGGAGACGTGATTATCGTTTTCTTTTCTAGGCAAAGGTTACTCGTTTTGAGTTGTTGCTTGTGAGCTAGTGCCGCTTTATTCTCTGTATTATTTTTCGTGTGCTTTTGTTACCATATATGCTTTGATAGAGTAGTACTGTTTGCATATTTTTTGCTGTTAAGTGTTGCATTGTGTGAGTAGCTTATCCACTTCAAGTGGCTGCCCTCTGTTATTCCTATACATATCTTATTGATTTCCTTTGGATTTTATATCGTTTTATAGACAGAACTCGTACTATACTCTACAACTACAGATAGGTTGAATGACTGTTTCTGGTGATATCTCAGTTTTGTTTTTATGATTTGTTGCATGTTTTTGGGACAGCTATAGCTAAGTTTTAAAGTATTTCTGTTGAATATTTTGTGCAGTTTACTTGATTTTAAGAGAATGTGCGGGTGATGTCATAAATCTGGGAACCTAGTTCGCAATCCAGTCGAGCCTTAGAGTTAGGAAAATTGTGAATTCATCTTCTCTCCCTCCAGCTATGGATTAAGAAGTAGGAATTGTATATGAAAGAGTCATGTTATCTCAAAAAAATTACTAACGCAATAATTACATGTAAAAAACAACAAGCGAATTATTCTAACACAAAATGTTTCGACTTTAAATAGCCCAGAAAAGGTTGATAAGCTGTAAAAAAAACAAATCAATCAATCAATTGATTCTGGGGAATGTTTGTCAGTGAGTTTAATGGAAGTTTTTTGAATTTAAGTCAGGAAAACATTAATTCATAATACACGTCGTGTACATTGGTTTGGTTTGTTTTACGGTATATCAACCTCAATAGGTTATTTAATGCCAACAAGATTTTTATTGATGGCAATAAAGTTTTTTTTTTTTTTTTTTTAATGCATTGTGGATAATATTTGTTCCCAAAAATGTATTGTTGATAATATTTTTTTCAAAAATATATTGCTGATAATATTTTTCTTTTTAAAATATGTATTACTGGTAATAATGTCTTGCAGGGAATAATTTTATCTTTAAAAATGTATTTCTGGTAATAATTTTTTTCAAAAATGTATTGCTGGTATT